TGCCACTGCTGTCTTTGGCTAGCACTCCTGCTGTATCGTGGATAGTTGTGTATCATTTTAAGAGAGGTTATTCACGCAGAACATAGTCTCTATAAAATGAATTGGAAATGCCTCTCTAAGTACAGTAAGTGCTCTTACTTGTACTGGTAAATGTTTGTGCAGGAAAGAAAAAACACACCAGCAAAATTCCTGGAGCCTGTTGCTTTTAAGCATATATCCCTGTTATGACAGCTTTCTATTTGGTTGGATGACAAGGTTAAATTCACTTTCAGGCTTCTGTGGCTCAGAGGCTTGGAGATTATCCTGGTTACTGTTTAGACTTAGTGTGGTGGAAAGTGCTTTAAAAATACATCACACTACTGCCTGTCTGACATCCTACGGAATGTAGCTTTTGTTCCCTTCCTGCAAACCTCCGAATGGTAAAGGCAAGCTCATTTTCAGCCATTAAATTGTTAATTATTAATTTAATTATTAATCACTGACTCTACTGCAGGGATATCAAACATACAGCCCTTCCTGCCCTCTCCTTTGTTGTGCTTTAGAACAACCAGCACCTCAATTGTTATATTGATCCTGCTAATTACCAATTTAAGTACAAAAAAGCTGGTGGTCACAGTTCTTCAACTAAGCAGATTAGGAGGAAAGCAGTCTGTGGGTTTTGACTATATAGTAAAAACTTTAAAACAACTAAAATCAGGGTTTTGGTCATTTTCACTGTCAAGGTTGTATTTGTTAAACTTACACATCACTTTCAGTTTACTCTTGACTGAGAATGGTAAAAAACGTTCTTCTACCGTTACAAAATCAAAATAAACTTTTCTTCATAACAAATGTTTTCAATAACCCTATTTTAGAATTCTTTGTGCTGTTTTCTCACTAGGGGGAAAATAAAGGGAAAATTGATTCAAGTGTGTCGCAAGTCAAACATCTGTCTTATTCACATGCTTGACAAAAAAAAACACTTTCTTTCAAATGTGTAGTGTGTGTGGCTTTTCCAGAGGCAGGTCTAAACAGCTGTTCCCAAGCCACATAGCACAAACCTAAGATGGGTATTTTGCAAAGGAAATATTCGAGCAGGAGCCTATAGTGTCACTGGGATTATTAGAGACAGGCACCATCATTTCACTATTACAAAGCAAGACCAGCACAACACTTCCCTCATCTGGATAGCCACAGACTCGTTTGTCATTCCATTCTGACCCTTTAGTTAATCAACTGAATTTTTTTTGCCTATTTGAACTACCTTAACCTTCTCACCAGAAAGTGATTGAGGAAGACCTACCAACCCCAGCTGGACTGTGGCATAATGGAATGTGACCATTTGAAAAACCCTGTTATTTATCAATATAAACATTGCTGTCCACCTCCTGGCCTCTTCCAGTGTAGAATCGTTCCGACTCCAGGGGGCAGATCGTTAGGATAAGGAACACTATACTCTCCGCTGGATACAGACAGTACTTATTTTATGGAAAACTAAAAGCCGAAATTTCCAGACAGTCCTGGCTACTTGTCTGGGGTTGTTACTGTGGTTTCAGTCATGGCGTGTTAAGCTGTTCTGAAACACTAGCAACCGGGAGAAAATAATATGGCTACTATAAATGGTGCCGCTGTAGGTCCACATTTAGAAAGAACATTTAATTACATGGCTCTTAGATGTGTCTAAAGGCTTCAAGTGCATTAAGCCATTTTAATAAACCAGTTCCACTAAAGTTAAAGCCTAGACATCAGTTAAAGCATCAGTAAATGCACATCATACAAACTGGTTCCATTTATTTTCTACTGTAGCTCGAATCTGGACAAAAATTCTGAATGCTGTATTTATCGCTCAAAAGACAGAAGAGGTACAGCATGGCATACTGTATTATTTTCACAGTTCCAAAGCTCCCTTATGATGGTGAATGTACACAATATATTCTGCAGTATTCTTAATTTTCTGGTGTGTCTTGGTTGGTAGGGCCCTCTTCCTTCTCTTTGGTGCACCAAAAAGAATAAGATAAGAATACACCATCCTTGCGATAAGCTGACATATCCCTGATGGCTTTGGGAAGCTGAACAAACGCTAGACAGGCTGACAAGAACTATACTACCGTACCACTGAACTCACCACAGAGAGCTGAAACAGAGCCCACTGAGCTGGGAGCTGGAACTGGGAATTTAAGTGACAGCTGCAAAGTAATTCAGGTTTGAAAACGGCATAGATGACCCTGTATCCATTTTTTAACATACTGTACAAAGGTAGACATAGACGCAGAAGGAATTTTGGACAGTTCTTTAAACTACTGCAGACCAATCCAAATCACAGCTTTAAAGATTCTAAATTTTTTTTTACATTTGCTTGAAGAACATTAATATTAGTCATTTAGGGTTGCTTTGAAGGCAATCGATTTCAATTCAAACAAGCTATAAAATGTTGTCAAGTGCATCGCGTCTAAAGGTGTTCCTCACCTAATGTAACGGACTGTAATCAATAAAGGCTGTAACTATTTTACTTGTAGATTACAGCCTCATATAGTCCTACAATCCGTCTACCTTTTTTATACATCATCACAATTTATTTCTTAGAATTAAACCGTGGGAAACAGTGTATCATCATTTATATTGAATCAACATTTTCAATTTTTGTACATTACTTTCTAAGTAATCATACTGTACTTACTAAGGAAGTTTTTGGACCTTCTGATAACAAGCATTGATTTTAAAGAGCAAAAAGGCGAAATACAGTAGTTTAAAGTAAAAATAACGAACCCTTCTGAAATAAAACACCCAAAAGGCAGTGCTTAAATTGGGGATCCATATATATATTTAATATATTTTTTATATATTATATATAAAAAAATATATTTTCCCCCACTCTGATACTCGTTGACGGGTTTCCAAGATGTAACTGCTCACAGAGCTCTTAAAGAGGGCTTCACAATTAATTATAGTGCCATATTATTTAGAATGATTCCTCAATTTATGTATTACTTGTGTATTGAAATCAGACGGTTCGTTTGGAGTTTTCCTGAAAAGGATTCGCCTTGGATCTACTGGGCTACTCTGATTCTAAGTTTCAATTTCATATTGTTGAGGCTTCGGGCAAAAGTAGTAGACGGTGGAGTCACGTTGTTGCTTGTAATTTAAAGTTTAGCTGAAAGCACACTCTCTCTGTGTGTTACTGTACTATTAACGTTTTATGCGTTTTGTTTCTTTCCTGATGAAATCCAATTTCCCAGCATATACAGTAGCTAAGACATATTGACGCTTTTCTAAACCCATTCATTTTCAATTACATTCCTGACATGTAAATTGAATCCTTAAATTGAGTCAATTGCCCTTGGGAATTCCTTTTTAAAAGTATATTGATCAGGTCATTCAATAGTACTTTCTTCTTGTCTCTCATACTGTATAAGCTATTTTCACACTTTGATAGTCTGAAGCGCTTTGGGATTATGGCCACTTTATAAAAGAGAGTTATATAAATTAAAGACAAAAAACCGACTCCGCTGCTAGTGTCTAGACCAAATTAATTTGATCTTATGTTTCGGAAACGTCTTTACTCAGAGTTAACTACAGTAAAGAAGATGGACGAAATGTTGATGATACCCCATCATAACCGTAATGTTTTAATAATGCATGCCATCTTAAAACGTTACGTTCATAAAAGTGTGTGTAATCGATTTGTCAATTGAATGACAACCGTAAGCAGTTATGAAATCAGCATGCACTAAATGTGATACATTATTGCTATTCAATTTTTTTCCCATAAATCGCAGCTCGCCAATATAACCAAAACGATAATTTTGCCTTATAAAAATCCAAGTTATCCAATTTTGAAAACAGTCGTTTTCTTATATACACGTAGGTTTGTATTACGTACTGTAACTAATTATCCGAAACTGTTACAGTTATTGCCAATAGCCAATACAGGTTAGAGGTAAAGCTTAGTAAAGCTTTAGTTTCAGCGCGTTAGAATGAAACAAGGAAAGCTGAAGAAATACAGTTTGTGAGTTAATCACTAAAAATCCCCTTGCGACACTCCGCTGAGTAACTCATCACAGTTCTGTAATGGGTAGGACCTGAAATACATTGCAAGTATAGAACTTATGACTTTCGTCAGAGATCAAATAAGGGCATCATCCAATTGAGCCAATTACGACTATGTTTGCGTTCAACAGAAACTAATATAACCAAAGCGATCATTAAAGTCAGAAAAACATATTTTTCTTTTTTTTTTTACTTATGTTGATTACTTAAAAGTACATTTACTAGGGATCGTTAACGTCAACAGCAGGTCGTTAGCTTTTTATCCGAATCCACAGTACATTGGAGAATTGGAGTTTACATTGGAGAATTGATTTATTATCATCATTAGGTTACTAATGCTCGGAACTCCGGTAAATGGAATCTAACAGCTAAGACAATGCTTCGCTTTAGATCGGTGTTCAAGTGGTGGTTTAGATGTTTATAAGAAGCTTTAAAACCCTAAGAAGCAAAAGGCTAAAAAAAACGTTTTGACCACCATCAGTTAAACAAATAAATTATCCAGTTAAGGCATTCGAAAGAGCTACTGGAAGGCACAAAAAGACATCTTCTAGCTGCAAGGCTACAATGCCTGGACTATACAGGTAAGCTACTAAACATCAGAGAAACTAAGAGATTCCTACTGAGATGAGCAGTCCAGCGATGGATTGACCCTCATTAATACTGAACTGCCTTACAGTACGTGTCCCGCTATTAGGAACGTATTGGCAAGCGTATAAACTGCATTTCTTACTGTATGATGATTTGAAGGCTGAAGTTTCAGTAAAGCAAAATACAAACAACAACAAAAAACTCACAAATAACTTATTTTTCCTCAGTAAAAAAGGGCGCACAGACGTAACTGCTTGCTTGAAAGCAAAGTCTTTACCTATCTCGAATTGCGTTTTACACTCAGAGTAATTCTGGGCTCCATGTGATACAGTTGATTAAACGTTAATTCCTTCCAAGATGTGATTTAGAGAGTAACGCGCACTAACCTCACTGGTAGGTGCCGGCGGCTTGTCTGCTCCTCTCATTCCCTCTACGTTTTAGTGCATCTTGCTCCACAGCCGCCTCCAAAAGTCGCATTAACCGATCCTGGAATGGAGCAATCCGACCTATCCCTTTGACAGTGGAAGCGTGGCCAAACTGCTTTCTGGATTGCGAAGAGTTGAAGCCCATTTTTGTGTTTATGCCTTTTGTGACAGGCAGTGATTGATAGCCCTCAGAACCAACGGTGAGGGCACACTGCAGCCCCCTTCTCCCCGCCTTGTTACTCTCCCGTAACCGAGAGTGGAGGGAGAGAGACTCACCTGTCGCTGGAAATTCAAGGTCTGATGAAAAAAGGATCATTCTGAAATGTGCTCCCTACTAATTCTATTGCATGGATCCAAAGGCTGTTTCATAGTTATGGGTTTAAGAATGCTATTCAAATTCAATTGAGTAAATGAAATTATAACGACGGAATACATTGATGTTAGCATAAAACTGCATTTGCTAGTCTTCTAACCTTATATGATCCATTACAAAACAGGAACCTGTAGAAGGAGCAGCAGTTCTTTGTGCAATTTTTCCTTTTTTTTTCAGCAGTTGAACACATCCAGCCATTTTCAATAACCATTTCATCCTTAGAGAGCTTAGATCAGCTATAGCTAACAAACTAAGTACATTAGGGCATAAGGCAGGTCCTGCGTGGGTATATATTGTCATTCTGGAGTGCAATACACTCCTCCGAAAGTATTGGGACAGCAAAGTAAACTATTTTTATTTACAGTCAAGTTAAATGCATTTGCGCTCATGCGATAATTGGAATGAAAGTATATTAAAATATGTTCTCTTCTGTGGGGAGGAATTCCATGCATTCATTCATTTGATCATTTCTAACAGAAGCATTGGCCACACCTATTGGCACAGTATACTGTATATTCACCTTAAGTGAAGTTCCGAGCTTAAGGCTCTTTGGCTGCACATGCCGTATCTTTGAGTCAAAACATTGCATGGAGTCTGTGAATTAATTGAGGACAAACACCTCCAGCAGAGCTCCAATGTGAAGCAGCATTGATTGCACTAGATGATCACAGATGAGTTATGTGACCGTTCAGTGGTTTTCTCACAACACACAAACACCCTGTCCCTTTGTTCAGTAGCTTCTCGTGAGTTTAACTGCACTTACTAGTAGTGGCTTTGTCATCTATAAAGACATTGTAAAAATGTTGATATAAACTCTTGAGATACATGTAGATAGACTTGTCAATTTAAGGTGCACGGCCCTCTACAATGTACAGAAGGTACACACACCCACAGTCCCATCATGACTCTCACAGTCATCCTGGGACACGCCGCCAAGATGGGCTGTTCCCATTACTGTGGGTGGGATGGGTGACTGTTATGGGAAAAGAGTAATAAAAACAATAAGCCACAGCTGGCCACAAGCAATGAGTGTGTAAGTTACCAGCTGACTGTGACTGGGATTTCCTCAGCACTGGTGACACTGGCAATAGACTGAGATTGGCTGGCTAGACTTCTCTTGCCCTCCTGACAACATGGTGACAGGTGCTCGTAGGCTCACGGTGCTGTACTGAGGGACTATTTTAATTCTAATTAAACCTCCTGCACTGGGCTCTATAGCATATAATGTTTTACAGCTTGACTAGCATGATGGATCAGATGAAACTGTTTGCACTTTCAAGTTCTCCTTATGAGGACAGGTACATGGTTCCTAGCCATGAGATGAAATGTGAAATTTGTGATTCCAAATCAAATAGTGAAACTATTTGGTGATTCCTAATTAAAAAAAA